GCCTTTCCCCCAGGCATCTCCAAGGATGCTGCTGGACACAGTGCCACAGCATCCACGTGAGAACGTGCCCTGCCACCCCCCTGGCCCCTCTTACCTGCCTGGAATTTCAGACAAGCCCTGTTCCTGCTGTTTTATTCCGGCATGGCAGTTTTTGTGGAATTCCCCACCCTCCCGATAGCCTCGCTCAAGCTTTTATCACGTCGCAACCAGCACAACCTCCTCCTTCTCCTCCTCTTCCTCCTCCTCCTCCTCTCTGGGCTGGACACAGCTAATATTGCTCTACTCATCCCTTCCCAAAGGCTGTCGGAGAAAGCCTCTCCCTGACAATTCCCTGCCCACATCCCATTGCTGTTCTGCCTCCTGACAGCAAACCAAGGGGCAGCTGGCACCTCCCACCATGCTGCCAACCCCATTCCCAAAACTCAAAACAAACTCTCCGTGGGGAGAGTGCTGCACAAGCACCCCAAACTGCTCGGAAATACAAGAGACCAACTCAGGAAGCCCTTTCCCCCTGTGGTTACAGAATCCTAGGAGTGGGAATGGGAAGGATGCTGCGACCATGGAGCTCCGAGTGCCCTCCAGCTCCTGCTGGGAATTACTGTTATTTTTTAATGCCCACATCAAACACCACCCGACCTCCTCGTGCTCAGGGCTGGGACAGCACAGCGACAGCGCTGCTCCATTCACAATTCCCTGAGCTCTGCCTTCATACATTATTCCAGCTCGGGGAAGCTTTGGGATTTTTTTTTAATTCCCTTTAAATATTTTATTCAGTTTTGCTCTCTGTCAGAGCTCCCTGGGGTAAAGCAGGCTCCCCAGGCAGGGCTGCGATGGAGGCAGAGCCACACTCCAAACACGAGCCATCTCCAAAAAAGAACCATGAGGCTGCACAAGGCAGGACCTGACCTCCRACAACCCGGCACGGCTGGCACGAGACCCCGAGGGGGTGAAATGGTTAAATCCTGCAGCCGTGTGGAACACAAGCAGCTTCATGGAAGCACTGAGGATCTGAGGGATGCAGTATGTGGGGCACAGAAGTGCTGCTCTGGTCAGAATTTCCCCCATGGAGAAGCAGAAAGCCCCTCAGCATTCCCAACATCCACACTGCCACTGTTACAGAAATGCCCTGTCCAAGGGAGCGGGCTGCAAGGATGGAGCAGAGCTGTGTCTCGGCACGGTCCACATCTCTGCCCTCTTCCCATCTGCACCTTCCCAACTTCCCATCCCCTCAGCGCCGTGCCGTAACACGAGCCAAGCCACGGGGAGCAAGCAGGGAGGGCAGGACGGAGGAGGAAGAGGAGGAGGAAGAGGAAGGGGGGAGGAGAGGCAGCACTCACGTTGATCATAGCATTGGAGGTGATGCGGAAGAGCGTGGCGCGCTCATTCACTGCCTTGATCTTCTCTCCGCTGTCGGCCGGCAGGCGCAGGTTCTCCAGCTCGCTGAGCGAGCGCTGCAGGGCCGCGCCGTGCTTGGCGATCAGCTCGTTGCAGGTGCTCAGGTCCTCCAGCTTACTSGACAGGGTCTTCAGGGGGCCGTGCAGCTCGCTCTTGTCGGACTGCGAGGCGGGCTCCTCGTCACCCGAGTCATCTGCCAAGGAGGGATGGAGAGAACAGCGTTTCCATGGTTACCCCGGACCCGGCAGCGCCTCCTCCCAGCGCCGGGCTGGGGGTCGCGGYCACCACGGTGGGGGTGGCACCCTGAGCCCTGAGTGGCACTCCTGGGGCTGTCACCGAGATCCGGTGAGGGGGTGGGAGGTGTGGCAGAACAGGGGGTGTCACGCACCCAACCTGCACTTGCTGGGCACACCGGAGTGGATCCACCCTGCTCTGGGGGCTCTGGGAGCTCTGCTCGGGGCGGGGTGAACAGCTTCACCCGAGGGAAAGGTCACTGAGACACCGAGAAAAGTAACGCTGCTACCCAAAACCATCTTYAGAAAGGAAACTCCACGGTCAGCACCTCAGCTACAGCAAAAATTCCTGTGACTCCAGAACACTTAAAACCAGGAAATTAACCCCAAACCACTCAGAGAGGGTAACACAGCATTTCTGATCACCCCACTGCTCCCCCAGGGAGGAGGTGAGTGGCACCAAGAGGCAGCAGCACCCACAGCAAATACAAAGAGAGAGAAGCAGGTCCTGGGTGGGAGCTGTGCCCCATCCTTATGCTCAGAACTTCAGCCAAGGGTTTTCCAGGAGCTCCCAAAACCCACTGAGGCAGCAGAGCAGAAAGGTGCTCCTTCATCCCCCACTCTCCATCATCTGGATTTCAGAGAGATGGGCACCAGCAGAACCTGGCTGCAGCTTCTCTGCCAGGGCTGGGGGAGTCAGAGCAGGGTGAGAACATCCTCCAAAGGATCCAGGCACAGAGCTCAGGGRTGGCTCTGGTGTAACAGRGGGGCAGCRCATTCCCACTCTGGGCTGCGAGAAAAGGAGGAAACCCGTGATTCCCTGGCAGGTGGGTGTTTGGCTGCTATTCCTGGCTCATTGATAGGAGCTGGAAATGCTGTGGGGACCCAGAGAGCTGCTCAGGCACTGAATCCACAGCTCAGGAAAGCAGAGGAGGAGCACCCTTTGATTGCTGTGCTCCAAAGGCAGGGATGTGGATAAATGAGACAGGATCACCAACCCGGAGCAGCAGCAGGAGCAGAGCAGGGCACGGTGCCACACCAGGGCCTGTGGTGAGCCCACCCAGAGAGGATGTGAGGGGACAGGGGCACAGCTCAGGGACAGGGCTGATCCTCCAGACCAGGACCAATCCCACTGCCCAAGGACAACGGGGAAAAATCTAAGGGAAACGGGGCACAGAGCTAACTGCAATGAAACACCAGGGCAGCACCTCCCTGCTGTCACAGTTYGGTCCCTCTGCAACCCAACTGAACACCACGAGCAGCAGCTGGTGGAGCCAGCAGAGGAAGTGGCYACCAAGGACAATCAGAGCAGCCACAGGAAGCCAGATGAGAGCTCCCCAGGGAAGGGCAGCTACCAGCTGAGCTGCTGGGGAGCTGCTGAGCCTGCACAGGGGACAGGACCAGAGGTTTGAAATACAGCCGGCATCAGCAAATTCTCCAGCACAGGTGGCAGGGGAAGGGAACAGGAACGGGCAGGATTCCAAGGGCTCCATCCCAGGAGGATGCASAGAGGCACCACAGTGATGGCACAGGCTCACCTCAGGCACCACACGGACCAGCCCCGAAAGATCCGAAGAAATCCAAGAAAACCGAAGCCACTCTTCYACCAGCACAGAAAATAACCCAAACCTCCTCCAAGTCCAGTTTCTGCTACAAAAGTTTCAGGTATTCCCATGGTGCCTTCCACACTGAGGCACACAGAGGTCTCCAGCAGCTTGGGCACGTTCCCTGGGCTCTGGATGTTGTCCCTGTACCTGTCATGTGCCAGTGCTTCCACGGGCAGAGCATTCCATCCCCGGGCATGGGGGGAGGGACACAGGGCTGCTCCTGCTGCTCTAAGCTGTGTCCCTGGCACTTTCCAGGGCCTCTCTGGCCTCTTTCTCCATCTCTCTCTCCAGGTGAAATCTGTACTCATCCCACCAGCATGCCCTCCCAGGCTATGCCTGCTGCCCAAGCTCCAGAGGGCAGGAACCTCTTTCCACAGCACTGGGATCTGATCACTAACGAGGCTGGCTTTAACAGCCAATTTATAATAAATTCCCACGTTTTATAAAGCTCTCAGGAACAGAAGCCAACCCCGCTGTTTCAGCTGTCACTGACAACAAGAGCCTGAACATGGCAAAACCCACCTCTGAGGGATTCAAGGGGAGAATCCGAATTTCCTCATTTTCTGTTTGCAGACATCAAACACAATTCACAAAGACAATTTTATCTGCTTACAAGGGCTGCAAAAGTTGTGCCAAGCAGGAGGATTGGTTCCTCTGCCCATCCCCATGCAGCATTAAACCCCCACATCCCTCCCTCTCATTTTTTCCCCCTCCTGCCTTACACAAAATGCTGCCCCAAAGTCCAGGCTCCCATGGGCTCTGGGGTTTCCAGAGCACAGCCTGGATCACCCTGTAATCCCAAATCACAGCCTGGGGATTTTTCACAGAATCACAGAATGCCCTGAGCTGGGAAGAAGTCACAAGGATCACCCAGACCCCCAACAATCCCCCCTGTGCATCCCTGGCARTGCTGYCCAAACGCTCCTGGAGCTSTGGCAGCCTYGGGGCCGGGACCATTCCCTGSRGARCTGCTCCAGTGTCACCACAGGGATGGCAGAGCACGGACAGGGCCGGGCTCTGCATTTTGCCAGGACATTATTTCCTGCCCATTGATTGAGGCTGTGGGAACAATCCCTGCCCGAGTGCTCAGCTTGAGGCAGAAACACAGAGTGGCCCAATTTTTTATCGCTGTGCAGAATTATATAAACGCCTCAAAGCCCAGGAAAAGGGGAAGGAACCAGGGTCAGCCCAGCGATGCTGCTCATTACAGCTGAGTTGGCTGAGCTGAGCATCCCTCAGCACTTCCCACTGTCCCAAAGCTGCTGCTGTGGGATGCTGGAGTGCTGGCAGGGTGGGCAGGAGGATCCCACCTCTCTCCTCCAGCCTGGGCAACTGGAATCAYAGAATTATGGRATGGTTTGGGTTGGAAGGGACATTAAAGCTCATCTCATTCCACCCCCATGCCATGGGCAGGGACACCTTCCCCTAGAGCAGGAGCCAATTCACAACAGAAATATATTTATAGATATAATAATACATACAATTAATTCTATAATATATGTAAGAAAATAACTCAATGTAATTTACTGCAATTATCTCAAATCAAAGCATGGGRAAAAGAAAATCCAATGTCACAGCTACAATCAAATAAATCAGAGCTGGTTAAAGCAGAAATGATCAGGCAGAGCACCCCAAGCTCCTCACTGCCATCCCCCAGTGGAGAGCATTGACACCTGCTCTGAAGATGTTTCCATCCTTCTCCTGGGAGCTCAAAAGGGACAGAAACACAAATTCCTTCTTCCCTGAGCAAGCAGCAGCCTGTCAACTCTGCAGCAGATGCATTTGGAGCCCAGGAACCCCTGGCTCCCCCAGGCCAYCCCCAGTAGCTCTCCAGCTGCTTTCCAGGGACCAGCAGGACAAAGGGCCCCAGCAATGCTGTGACACAGCACAGGACAGGGCTCTGACAGCCCCTCCTTCCCCCACCAGGGGTGGTCCCAAGGGAAGCTGCTTTGAATCCCAGGATTTAGGTGGGAAAATACCTTCAATACCATCAAGTCCAACCAATTTGACCAACCAATTCCTACAGTTCCAGCTGAAGATGGTCTTRAAGGGCTGGAGGAGAGAGCAGCAGAAATATTTATCCTGTTGCTGAGGATGAAGGATTCACTCATCCAGAAAGGGGGAAGAGCAACAAGGCTCTGCCTGGAGGTCTTTGGTYGGAGCCTGGCCGAACACAGCTTTAGGGATCTTGCCCTTCCTCCAGCTTTTCTATCAGACAGGGGAAAAACATTGATTTGGCTTTGCTAAGGTGGGGAAACACCCTGAAGGTCAGGAAACACCCACAGAGAGTCTATCCAGGAGTGCTCATCCGAGGATGSACCACTGGGGATTGGCAGAAGCAAAAGTGCAACGGGCCCAGCGAGGTCACATCACTGGGACTTCAACCCCCATGAGGGGATCCTAACTGCACCCACTCAGGGTCACAGAACCTCTGGGAAGCTGCAAAAACACAGATTCCTAAAAGCTTGGGAGRATTTAGGAGAGGGAAGAGGAAGATGATGAAGGACACCCAGCAGAGTCTGACTGGAACATTTCCCAGCACAGGGAGTGTGTCCCAACCCMGGGAGTTTTAGGGATGGCTTTSAAGGGGGGTCCAAACATGCAGGGAATGAGGAGGAACCAGAACAGGGAAGTGAGGACTGGCTSAGGTGGAGGATGCTCCAGRGCTGGARCAWGTCCAGGGCAGGGAACRGAGCTGGGGAAGGGTCTGGAGCCCCAGGAGCGGCTGAGGGAGCTGGGAAAGGGGCTCAGCCTGGAGCAAAGGAGGCTCCGGGGGGACCTTGTGGCTCTGCACAACTCCCTGACAGGAGGGGACAGCCGGGGGGGTCGGGCTCTGCTCCAGGGAACAGGGACAGGAGGAGAGGGAACGGCCTCAGGCTGGGCCAGGACAGGGGCAGGGGGGATACTGGGGAAATTTCTCATGGAAAGAGTGGTCAGGCCTGGATTGACCCTGGATTCCCATCCCTGGAGGGTTTAACAGCCCTGTGGTGGCACTTGGGGACAAGGGTCAGTGGTGGCCCTAGCAATGCTGGACAGTGGCTGCACTCAATGCTCTAAGAGGACTTTTCCATTTCCAACCTTAAAATTCTGAGATTCTATTCCAGTGCTCTCCTGATCTTTGGATGCTGTCCTTGCTCCTTTCCCCCAGTCTGGCCCTTCTGGATCCRCAGCTCCCAGCAGCTCCTCGATCCCATTAAAACTCAAACCAACAGCTGGGCTGGGATCGGGATCTGGACCATGCCTGGGAGCCCTGCAGGAGCTGGGAAGGCCTCCCTGCCCCTCCACACAGGGCAGACTCTCCAAGGACACAGGGAGTGCTTTAATCCCGGTTTCCAGCCCCCAGCACACCCTGT